GATTTTGCTCGGCTTTATATTCACCGCCTAGCGCGGTGAATATAACGTCATAGTCCGAGATAGCTAACCAATCAGATTGCTTGAATTACCAAGATCACTGAGTGTGTATATACTAAATATTTATAGGCATTGTTATTGCTTAATATCGTCACATTCAGCAGGTCTGTAAAGCGCTAGCTTTAAAATTAGACTATCGTCAGTGGCGGATCCAGCGGAGGGGCCCGCCCCCCACCCTTATTTTACGACCAAACTGATGCCCGAAGGGCCGAAAAGTATTTTTTGGAGACCCCGCCCCCCGCTCCCCCTTATCTGAAGTTCTGGATCCACCATTGGTCCTTACTCGATGTCCTAAGCACTTTCGGACTTCGTCCCCAAAGTTGTATGTATTTAGTTGGTGTGTACGGAACTTATTGATAATTTGGTGACTGTGAAGTACTTTGTTGTAAGATTTACCAGACGTTAACTGAAACCGGAGCGCCAGTGCACATTTATAGAGGAGGGATGAAATAGGGCACTCCTTCATTTTCCCGCCATTTTTCCACGCGGACGCACTGTGGCAGCCGCCTGAGATTTCCCGCCAAACTAACTCGGTCAACTCTGGCAATATTGTCGACTAAAAATTAAGGTCCAAAATGCACAAAGATTTTAACCAATATCTTCCAAGAAAAACCCTTGTGTTCTAAAGAAAGAGCTGTTTACATTTCTCGAAGCTCATTAAGCTTTATGTTGAAAGAAAAACACAAGGGAAGTTGAAGAAACCAGCTTTATGTCAGCGGTGAGGCAAGCAAAATACAGTAAGTACGAAGATTTTATTGTTTGTTGTTGTTCTTGCTGTTGTTGTTGTTGTTGTTTTGTTTGTTTGTTTTTTTTTACTGTTAGGTAGGGTATAGTAATCAAAAATTCTTATATTAATAACAAGTTTTTTTAACAAATCTTTGCTTGTCGTAGTGTTTTTGTTTAAAACAGAGCCTGTCTGCATGCTTTACGCATGATAACGGGTAGACTAGGGGGATTAGAAGATAACAAATCAAGTTTATATTTTTTTTTGTGGGGAGGAAGAGGGGGAACGGGCATGGTAACGAAATATTAATGAGTACAAAACAAAAGAAAATAAAATGTGAACTAACAATGAAATTGAACCACTACAAATCCATGTAAAGGAGGGATTCAAGACTAGGTTTAGGATGACTTCTTTTACAACTTGCCACCACGCACATAATTCTCAAATCATCTTGCATTAAGGACGGAGGAATTAAGAATTGCAGCGACAATTTGCTAAAGACAGAATCGCGGCACTCATGATTAGAACAACAACTGAGTCGTTTTCAAAACTAAAAGAACCTCTACTGTACAATTTTGTTGAAGGCTTTGAGCTGGACACGTCTACGTCTGGAACAGTTGGAGTGCATGGATCAGCCACTTCGACCAGTTCATTCCTCAGTGGGGGTTCGGCTACAGGCTTCTCTCTTCCTAGACCAAGCACGTCCTCAAGAACAGCTTCAGCAAACAAAAGTTCGAGGTTTGTTAAACATCTCTTTCGTTTCCAAGGGACGTTCCATTTTTTATGCCCTTCCCCGCCCCCCACCCCCCAATAAGGATTACGGGTTTTCGAACAGGTGGGTTCGGATTTTTTTCTTCAGAGAAGCCGATCAAAATTGGACCCGACAAACTTTTCAAAAGTGCCTACAAAAAATAAACCCTCCGGATTTCGTTTTTCAAACGGCGCCGGCAAAAATTTGAGGGTTCGGATTCCTGTTATCTTTAGGGGATAAGCAATGGAACGTCCCCAATAACCGTTTAAGCAATGGTTCATTAACAATAAAAAGTGAGAACCAGGGAAACAAAATTTTTATCAAGCATTCTTTTTTACTAGATAAAAAAAGAGCGCTATTTTTATTCTTTTCTGTATTCAAGACTTGACTAGAAACTCACTGATTTCAACCAATCATTATTATCTTGTATACCAGTTAACAACAAATCGTTATACAGCTTGCAGAGCGTTGTTTTCGTGGAAGGCAGATGACGTTCGATTTCCATTAATCTTTGTTAAAGGGCTGTTTCACTGACGTGATTTCAAACAAATTTCAAACAAATTAACATAAAACTTGTTTTTAGAGGATAAACTACACATTAATCGGCAAAACAAGACTTTTTCCTACCAAAGTGACTCACGGCTTGTTGTCGGTGATCTTTAAAACAGTTCAATCAAAGTACCGACTCCAGGAAGTTCCCTACGGACTCCCGCTCCGGGACCCAACGTCTTTACCTCAACCAGTGTGTCGCATAGAACTCCCAGTTCACGTCGCACACCACATGTCTCAAGTGCGACCCCTGGAATGCCACCGTCTTCTGTTGTGGTTGGTGAGTTAACGAATTACTCTTAGTTTTTTTAGACCAAATGACCCTTAATTTGCTTTTTACCAAAAATCAAAATAGAGATGGTAAAAGTGATGACTATCATTTAAAACGTTTTTAAGGAAAAGAACTAAAGTCTATCTTAGCGAAAGTGGTCGCAACTAACTGAAACTAATACTACTTCATGGCCTTAGTTTGGATGGTCACACTGTGGGATTTTCTATTTGCATGTGATTATCATACTTTTACAAGAAGAAGTGCTTCGAAAAATGCTCGTTTTTTTAAAATGCTTGCTTTTCAGCAATTGTGGAAGGGCGTGGTCTTGCAAAAGGAGAGATCGGTATGGCCAGCATTGACTTAAAGAAGCCTGAACTTGTCCTTTCACAGGTCTGTCATCAGATTGTTTATATTATCAATTTAATTTAGNTTTTTCCTACTAATGTGACTCACGGCTTGTTGTCGGTGATCTTTAAAACAGTTCAATCAAAGTACCGACTCCAGGAAGTTCCCTACGGACTCCCGCTCCGGGACCCAACGTCTTTACCTCAACCAGTGTGTCGCATAGAACTCCCAGTTCACGTCGCACACCACATGTCTCAAGTGCGACCCCTGGAATGCCACCGTCTTCTGTTGTGGTTGGTGAGTTAACGAATTACTCTTAGTTTTTTTAGACCAAATGACCCTTAATTTGCTTTTTACCAAAAATCAAAATAGAGATGGTAAAAGTGATGACTATCATTTAAAACGTTTTTAAGGAAAAGAACTAAAGTCTATCTTAGCGAAAGTGGTCGCAACTAACTGAAACTAATACTACTTCATGGCCTTAGTTTGGATGGTCACACTGTGGGATTTTCTATTTGCATGTGATTATCATACTTTTACAAGAAGAAGTGCTTCGAAAAATGCTCGTTTTTTTAAAATGCTTGCTTTTCAGCAATTGTGGAAGGGCGTGGTCTTGCAAAAGGAGAGATCGGTATGGCCAGCATTGACTTAAAGAAGCCTGAACTTGTCCTTTCACAGGTCTGTCATCAGATTGTTTATATTATCAATTTAATTTAGGGACTTTGATGATCAAACGCTTGCATTTTTGATGACGATCTAAAGTACCGATAACCAATTACCCTGAAGACTTAAATTCAGATTTTTACTTATTGTAATTAGTTATTATGAATCTGATTCACAGTAACTTAGCTTTACTTTATGCTGTTGTCTTCTTTACATTGTAAGTGGCCCATGATTTTGCTTCTAAAAAATAAAAATACCTCTTACCTTTAGCTGAAAGTTCCTAATGCTGTCAGTCACCTCTGAAGGTAGCTGTCTCTTTTGCTTTTTTTAAGTTTTCAGATAACCAGACCTACGTAAAAGTGCTAACAAGATTGCAGATTTTAGAACCTTTGGAGGTACATTTTGAATATGTTTTCCATATTTAATTGTTTTAGTGTGAACACCTCATTAAACTGTGTGGGTGCTGTGCTTCTTGTTCGAAACAAAGCCTCTCGAAGAATGGCGGAGTTGATTCATTAGTCACTAAACGCTTCAATTTTATGAGTCGTAGATTTTATAATGCATAGCGTGCCCCATTGATTCGCCGGCGCAATCAGTGATTCTAAAAATAAAGTTGATATTGGGCCTCATATTAGGCCAAGTTTTCGTTTTCAATGGTCATCTAAAATCATTGTTTCTTTGTTACTGTCAGATAATCATGCCTAATACAGCGTGTGAAAACGGAAACATGTCTACTTTATTCAAGCTCCTAAGTGACCAACTCCCATATACGAATTTATCAGCTGTTCAAAGAAAGTATTTCAATGAAGCAAAAGGTAACGTTTGAGATTTGCATTGACGGACTGAATAAACGATCGCATTCCGAAAGTCAAAGTGCTCACTGAACTGACCTTAGGAGAACATTTCGATTATTCACTTGGGGTACGTCTTATTTTAATGGAAATAAAGCACAGTTTGACAGTAATTGCGTTTAAAGAGTCAGCTGGTATAGTTATGGTCGTTGAGCTTCAAAAAAACAATTCAGAAGCTCAGATCCATTTGTTTTGAACATCTCTCCTTTTTTTCTTTAATATGTTTTATGGCAAAGTGGAGATACCTTACCAGGTCAGTGATTTGAATAGAGCGCCTCAGTGGGATTGGCCTCTTATATGAAGCCAGACTTCAGGGTCTTCAGTTGGCCACACATATCCTTAGTTTATTGACCATTTGTGCTTTCATGTCATTGACGTTTTTCATAGCTTCATAGCTTCCACGCATTCCATAATCTTGGCATCTTTCTATTTCTACCCCTGATTTGTTTGATGGTGTCTTTCCTTACCAGGTTTAGAATACGTGAAACAACTGTGCGTTCCTGAATACAACACCGTAGAAATGGAGGTGGCTTCAAAGTAAGTTACAGGCTCAGTTTGAAACCCCTTTAATTTAACATGTCAACACGTATTCGAAAATTCCGGAGCCTAACTCCTACTCCTCTAAGTGTCAACCTTTTAATGAATAGCCTGAGAAAACAGCCGACATTTGGCGNTCATGCCTAATACAGCGTGTGAAAACGGAAACATGTCTACTTTATTCAAGCTCCTAAGTGACCAACTCCCATATACGAATTTATCAGCTGTTCAAAGAAAGTATTTCAATGAAGCAAAAGGTAACGTTTGAGATTTGCATTGACGGACTGAATAAACGATCGCATTCCGAAAGTCAAAGTGCTCACTGAACTGACCTTAGGAGAACATTTCGATTATTCACTTGGGGTACGTCTTATTTTAATGGAAATAAAGCACAGTTTGACAGTAATTGCGTTTAAAGAGTCAGCTGGTATAGTTATGGTCGTTGAGCTTCAAAAAAACAATTCAGAAGCTCAGATCCATTTGTTTTGAACATCTCTCCTTTTTTTCTTTAATATGTTTTATGGCAAAGTGGAGATACCTTACCAGGTCAGTGATTTGAATAGAGCGCCTCAGTGGGATTGGCCTCTTATATGAAGCCAGACTTCAGGGTCTTCAGTTGGCCACACATATCCTTAGTTTATTGACCATTTGTGCTTTCATGTCATTGACGTTTTTCATAGCTTCATAGCTTCCACGCATTCCATAATCTTGGCATCTTTCTATTTCTACCCCTGATTTGTTTGATGGTGTCTTTCCTTACCAGGTTTAGAATACGTGAAACAACTGTGCGTTCCTGAATACAACACCGTAGAAATGGAGGTGGCTTCAAAGTAAGTTACAGGCTCAGTTTGAAACCCCTTTAATTTAACATGTCAACACGTATTCGAAAATTCCGGAGCCTAACTCCTACTCCTCTAAGTGTCAACCTTTTAATGAATAGCCTGAGAAAACAGCCGACATTTGGCGGGGAAACCAGTGGTAGCCTCGGCAAATGTCGGCTGTTTTCTCCGGCTATTTAATGAATTTAAAAATGAAATAAAATTCATGTGTGACATGAACTTCTTCATTTAAAGTCCGTTGCTGACCAAGCATCGAAACCCTCCTCTGATTTTTAAACTAATGCATGCGCTTTGCCACACAAAGTGAAGAGTAGCGTTTTCTTACTGATGATGTTTCGCAAAAAACCTCGCTTGCAATACGATGTCAGAGAAGCAGGTTCAATGTTAATGTCAGGTAGTATTTTGGGTGGCCCTGGTGTTTTCCTTGCAGTGTCGGAGTACTGCTGGTCAAACGTTAAATTTATTGATATTACTCTCTCGTTAGTCACCATTTTATTATTTATCTTTTAATTTTTTTTTTTTTTCAGGTATTACTGTCTGGCAACGGCGTCCGTAAGTATTTGAAATATCAGTAAATTATTGGAGCGAACTTGCGGGAAAGTCTTAAAGTCTTGGCCCGAATTTTCGAAGCCGTAGTAAGCTAAAATGCTAATTCTCAAGTATTGCCGCCTAACAACAGATTATTGTTAAGAAACACTTTCACGATATCTTACTAACAAGATATATTAACCTTGAACGCCTTCTTAAGTTCTAAGCATGGCTTTGTTTTGGGAAATCTTAGGCTTTCCTGAAATCCATTTAAGGAAGCGGTAGACGGATGCCAGCCGCGCCTTTGCCAAAGAATGGTGAAAAGTAAGGATCGCGAGTCTTAATCTTTAGTCCTCTTGTTTCTGAATGTTTTCAGGCTTTGCTCAAGTATGTCGAATTTATACAGAACATTGTTTATGCACCGTGTTCCGTTAAGGTCCTTTTCAAAGGGAGCGAGAAGACTGCGATAATAGGTAAAACATTTCATTTAGCGTAACTGCTGATATCACTCATATGGCTGGTATTCTGAGTAAGTACAGTCAATTCTAGCCTGCGTGACAGGCTGGAATCTTGCAGGGGGAATTAGGGGGCGCGAGAACGCGATAGGGGTGCGTTTCAGTGTTTGTTCCTTTCTCGCTCCCCCCATCCCGCTCTCATGGCTTACATTCTGATTGCTAAGTATGTATAGTCAATTCCGAGCCTACGTGGCATCTGAAGGAAAAGAGAAAGGGGGGTAAATTTCTTGGTGTTGCGGACGAGTGCTATCATCAAATGACGTAATACAAAAGATTGAGAAATAGACTAAAAATTACCCACACAACAACACAAAAGCGTACCAACAATGCTGTCTGCAACACCAAGAAACATCCAGAAAGGGGCAATTTAGGGCGCGCGAGAATGCGATAGGTGCGCCTTCCGTATCTCCTTCCTTGCGCGCCGGTTGCGCTCTAGTGCTCCTTAATTCTTCTTAATCTTCAGAAGCCTGCCTCACAGGCTAAGTCAATTCTCTCTAAGACGGATACTATGTGCCGGTCCCAATAGTGTCAGCCTTACACAGAGAGTCTTAGTCATGGAGTATAGAACATAAGTGCCAACTACAGGAACCTGTTTACTACATAACAGTATGTCCTTTAAAGGTGTATGCACCAAGTTTCCTTGGAAATTGACACCCATTTTGGCACACTAGAGTAACATTTGTTGCGTTGGTAATGCATCAAAGGGGAGATTAAGCAACGCGACGACAATGGCAGTTCTTTCAAACTTTATAGCGTTTATTAAGCCTGGGTGAGGTTGTTCAGTTGTTGTTGCTTAAGCTCCCTTATTGCGCGAAAACGCGCCACATAGAATGACAAAGTGTTTTCTATCAGGGTTTCATCAGAAATTTTGTATTTTTATTTGCCTAATTCGTCGCATGTGTCGTATTTCATTGCCAGACGCTTCCACTGCCAAGAACTTAGAACTCATTCAAAACGCTAGGGACCCTAAAAGCGGTCACTGTCTGTATGGAGTCCTAAATCACACGAAATCCGCTGGAGGAGGTAATATGAATCATGTGGTCGTCTTTGTTGTATTTGAGGAGGAGTTAACTTTAAACTAATCTGTCGGTCCACCTGATTTATTTTATTTTTAGCCCGTCTTCTAAGATCAAACGTTCTTCAACCTCCATGTGGTAAGCATATTTCCAACTAAGTTGATCTTTTACGTCATTAATGATATAAAACTGACACTCTTGTTATTTGACGGAATGAGTTGAACATGAAGAAGGTTTTTTTCTCTTCAAGTGCACCAAATATCACTGAATATACAGTCGACTCTCTCTTAACGGACACCTCCATAAGACGGACACCTCTGTAAAACGGACACCTAGAGTTGGTCCCTGCCTTTCTTTACAGTCAACTCTCTCTAAAACGGACACCTTTGGGACCGGCACTAAGTATCCGTCTTAGAGACGTGTCCGTCTTATAAAGAGTCGAATACAGGGAGTAAAGAAAGGTAGGGACCAACACTAGGTGTCCGTTTAACAGAGGTGTCCGTCTTATGGAGGTGTCCGTTAAGAGTCGACTGTACTCCCTTTATTTGACTCTCTATAAGACGGACACCTAGTGCCGGTCCCAAAGGTGTCCGTCTTAGAGAGAGTTGACTGTAAAGCTTAACTTAGAAAAACTCCTATGAGTGAAACGGAATAAGAAGTTTAGTGACAGGCTGTAGGATCGCAGAAGTTGACTCGAATACTATTCATTCAATATGTTTGCGTTGTGCAGCCTAGAATTCAAAATAAAAAAAAACTTTAACTTTTAGCCATTTATACTTACTTTTTAGCATTGCAACGTGATAAAACCTGTAAACTGGGTGTACATTAAGATGCATGGTTAGCTGGAAAAGCGTTCATTACATAGAACTTCGTAAATGACGTTCTTGAGGACTCATTAGTCTGCTGAGCGGAATGTCAAGTAATATGTATTCATTTGACAGACAATACTAACCACTCTCTCATATTTTTCCTTTGATGTCCTTCGTTCTTGCAGATGAAGAAACAACAAACGTACGTCTGGACTGTGTGGCAGGTAGGCCGTGAATTCTCAATGCTGTTTTCTGTATATAGGTATTACACACATAAGTAATGCTAAATACTTCTTCATCAACAGCGATTCTTATCGCAATACGGAAATCTTTCTAGGGCGTTTTTCTTTTAAGTCCCAATAAATAACCTCCTTGATACGTACAAACCCTATAAAAGAGGAACGACATTACCTATAAAGAATTTACCGAGCACATTATTTCGTCAGTATTATGCTTGTTCTGAGAACGTATTTTATTTGTCTTTTACTATGCAGAACTGACAGACAAAGAGGTATAGTATCAGTTTAGTTTCTCGTCTAATTGTTATTTTATAAAAACAGCAATTCTCTCTTCTTTCGGGAAAAGCCGAGCATGAAAGCTGCGTGAGACTGTAATAAGATGCACAAACGTCCGTCAAACGTTAGTCACTCACTTGCTAGCGATCCACTTCAAGGGCTGATGTTAAATGGGTCGCTTTCCGTTTGTTCTTCCATTTCCCAGTCCTTATCTTCTCTCCTTTGAATTCAGTGATAGAATTCCACAGTCGTTAGGCCCATATAGGCACATATTTTACATATTGTAGTTTACCCGAACGTAGCCACCGCCTATAGAAGCGATGCACTGAAAGTGGCTGTAGGAAAACTCAAAAGGCTGTTACATCCGCCAAAAGTAACGAAGGTCGTAACTTGTTTAACTTGTGCTCATTAGATCATATATTTGAATGCTATTTTGCGCCTAATAAATGATAAATTATTATTATTATTATTATTATTATTATTATTATTATTATTATTATTATTATTATTATTATTTAATCGGAACTTTACAGTAGCACGTTTGGTAGAGCCTTAATTACATCAGTTTTTATTTTTCAGGAGCTGTTCTACGGATTACAGTCCGGTTAGTTCAATAGTTCAAGCAGTTCCCCTCCTCACGAGTTCCAAGCAAAACAAGGAACAACTGATCTAGCTGTATGTTCCGTGCTTCCCTTCCAACCTTATTCCTTTTCCTGAATTACTTTCATATTACTGGATAATTTGGTAGCAATAAATTTTCCATGTATTAGGCCGGAGAGTGCAATATAGTGATCTCGTGTCTGGTCTTGTTGGAGTGAGGGCTTATTTCGCTAACAGTGGCTAGTAATCGAGCCTATAATAATTTTATGTTCTTAAATTTTTTCATGGAAATACCAATAAAACTGAGAACTAATACACTAACTTCTACATGACAGTGATTGGGCGCTTCCTGGACGTTGATCATTTAACCTCCATGTGCGTTCAAATTCCCAAACAAGAGACAGTCAAAACAGCCGAATCCAAGATCACAACTGTAATCTATCTGAAGCATACCCTGGAGCTGGTCGAGCCCCTCAGGATAGCTCTCAAGGACACAGAAGCGGAACTCTTGAAAGCTTATTACGAGGTAAATGAGCTCGAAAAAAAATAACGGTCTAAATAATTCTTATGGTTGAAACTTCTTGTTTTAAGGTATGGAAAAACGGGCAACAAGAAGTGTGCAACTTGTTTTGCAACATTGCTGCGAAACGAGTTGAATATCGATGTTGCGCGTCTTACCACCCCTGTTCAAACCTGTTCACAACCTGATTTTTTCCAAGACAGGTTTTATGTGGGTGGTAAAACGTGCAACATCGCTATTCAACTCGTTTTGCAGCAATGTTGCAAAACAAGTTGAACGTTTTTTGCTGCCCGTTTTTCCGCACCTTTACTATAGAAATAATGAACAGCAAACGACCGCAATAGGGAAAGCTTGGTCACGTGGTACGTGGTGTTTGCTACTTGCTGTAAACGGGATATTAAACCCTAACACTATAATCGCTCTAAATGGACTTTTTGACGTTTAAGAAGAGCTGCAGCATCAAATGCAAACATTAGAGTTTATTGCACTGTTATATGCCTGACATGCGAGGACACGCGCCTTCCCTCCTACCTTGTATCCTTGTATAAGCTCATGTTTGTTCACAAGTGCGCAATATATGTTCTTTCCATTTTACGGATCATTATATTTTATGCGATTTTAATTTTTTATTTTGTTTCGTATGTGACAGTCTCTCAATGACAACAGGTTTGCGACCATTATGGAGAAGATTCAGACTGTCATTCATGATGACACTAGGTATCAGAAAGGAACTCTTAATATGAGGACCCAAAAGTGTTTTGCTGTCAAGGTACTGAAACCCTGAATCATATAATCCTGAAACTCGTTCAACATGAATTTATTTTACATTACTTTGCAAGTTGAAATTTCCGCTTTCAATAATGATGATTAATCATAATTTTGTCCTCACTGGTATTAATGCAAATATCACTTTTGAAAATTTTACTTAAGTTCACAGCAATCATGAGACATATACGTTTCCCTTAATGATGATTGACGTTTTCCTAAGTTAGATTGACTCAGTTTATTATACTAATTCTAAATTATTTTACTCCCAATCATCGGAAAAACTTCGAAATTGGATGAGAAGCCTCATATTAACGGTAAGGATATACCAATATTACACTAACAAAATATGTTGAATATTTTCAAAAGCTCAAGTTATACTAAGTGGTTTTGTAAGTTAATCAGTGTGTGTCCCGCTATGAACTAGTGTAATTCATGCGTTAGATGTCACTGAGTCATTAAAACCTGTATCTTTCTATACCTGTTCAGAATTGTAAAGTAAAGGGAAAATGCTATGTTCCTCGTACATATGTTGGACACAGTTCTCTGACTGCTCACTTGACAGATTAAATAAAAAAGGAAAAAAAAAACAAAGCAAAGGAAGTCTGCTGTCGCAAAGTGCACAAAGCTGTTTGCTGGTCAATTTTGAATGTCACAAGTTTTATTCGAAGTAACAAAAGTTTAATTAAAGTCTAACAGGTGTAGTAATCCAGCACTCCCCCTCTTCTGGTTATAAGGCCTGTAAATAAGTTTTGATATATGAGGTCAACTTTATACAATATGTTCATTAAAGGGAAGTAACCTTCAATGGATGAAAACAGCTGTATGTCACCCTTAAAATAATTGTTCACATGAGTGTAACAAGAATCCACAATTACCAGCCTATAAATGATGTCTATTTTGGTCAGGTGGATGAGTCGAAACAATAAAAGCACTCGGCCTTTCACCTGTTTTTCGGTGTTTAGAATCCCTGATGAAACCCCCGCACTCGTTTCAGTGTCGCAGTTAATTTTACGAGTTTCAAGCAGTTGATTTTGTAAATGTTATTAATTTATGTTTAAGCTTTATTTCACTTATTTATATATGTCTAGTTATTTATTTATTTATTTATTTATTTATTTATTCATATATTTATTTGTAATTAATTTCTGACTACCGTACCTATCATCTCCGCCCGCCTCGATTAACCGACTAGCACCTGCTATTTGAGGGCGGAAATGGACTTAATGTAAATGTAGATTGTTAATAATAATTAAGTGTGTGTGTAAGTGTGTGTGGCGACATTTTACTTGAAAGTGGCCCATTTTCATTCATATACATCGAGTGCTCTTAAGTATCAAAACGTATATCATGAAAAGAGTGAATGAATCCCTGATAACGCGCAATACAATTGTAGCAGCGCTACAGGTTTTGATGTACTTCAGACCCAATATCATGGTTGCTCGGATCAAACGTTTGAAACGTTTGCATTTTTGTCTTTTTATCATCTTTTTGACGTTGAGTTTCATCACGCTTGTCTTGATTAACATTCGAAGTTCAAATGGTACAGCTTTATCAGATCAAGACCGGTCTCCTTGGAATCAGATAGCTACCGTGATAAAAACGGGTGATTTTATTGCTGCTACACGAATCAATACTGAGCAAGCTTCAACGGAGGTTACCGCTTGCGTTGTAGACCCTGCTTTGATTGAGTGCGATGGTAATGGATTCTCTGCATTACTTTTGTATACGCTGGATCACATCTTCACATGCCAAGCCCTAGGAAGCGACACGCCTATCGTATATTGGCGGAATTGCAACTCAGGATGCTCAAAAAACCCAAGTGTGAATTCTTGGAAATGGTACTTTGAGCCAATAAATCAAGGTTTTGAATTTAAAGCGAAAAAAGTAATATGTCCGCTTGGTGGGTACTTTGAGTTAACTGTACTACGACCAGACATATGGCCAGTTTTAGACAGTAGCTTTAGAGACCGCTCAAATGTTGTTGGTTATCAAAACAGTACTATCATAACTCCAAAGGAAAGGAGAAGAGTAAACCGGTGGTTAAATCGGTTTGTTAGACCCAATGCTAGAATCAAGCAAAAGGTCAACAGTTTCTTCAGTAGGTATCTAGTGGGAAACACTCTCTTAGGAGTGCAAGTACGAGCTACCGACCACTGGCTGGAGAGACGCGAGGGAAAATTACCTACAATATCAGACTGGATAAATAAAGCAGCTTCAATTTTCGACAAACTTTCAGAGCCCCGGAAAATATACATTGCTAGTGACAATACAGAGGTCATCGATCATTTTGTAAGGTTTTTTGGACAAAAGAAGGTAAGATGACTGTAAGATTAATGTTTCTGATCATTCGTTCTTAACATGTAAGAAACACTCGTTCAAGTAACTACTGTGCACCTCCAAAAATATTTCAAGACTTTGAATATATCCTTGGAAACGGAAAAAGTGATCTATTTACCTTTAAAAATTTAACTTAACAATAGAAGACAACTGTTTTAACGATGTTCAAAAATGAGCAGCTGTAGTAGTACTGGCTGGGTGAATCATTGCGTTTCCAGTTCTTCTCATTAGTGATGGGCACTTTTATTTTATCAGTTGTAACTGATAATAAAACAGAAGCCAGTAGGTTTGAGGTTCTTTGACACTTTCCATCAATTACATTAACAGCCACATTAGCATTTCAAGACGTTCTTCACGGTAATCATGCCGAAAAAATTAATCATTCTCTTGTACTGTAAAAAGGTTTTATTCATCGAGGCTACAAGAGCCAAAAGTTACCATGGTGAACCTCCACACGTCCTCCAAGTCCAGCGCAACCCAGATCAATTTCATAAGGCTCTCGGGACGCAGGTGCTTATGGATATTTTACTCTTGGCAAAATGTGATCATTTCTTACACATTGAATCCAGTGTCGCAGCCCTGGCAAGTTACTTTAACCCTGTCATGAAAAGTCACTTTCTGGATGATACACCCGAAAAGGTAGGGACTTATCAGGTCTGTGACGTATGTTTATTATAGGGTTCGTACAGAGTTTTGAACTCTTGAAAAAGTCTTGAAAATTGCCCAACAATTTTTCGGACCTGAAAAGTCTGGAAAATGGAGATTAAGTTTGGAAAAATGGTAAAAAGTATTGAGTTTTTTCAAAGCTACAAGTAATTTAGAGGTGATATGTTTTCGTTTTGGTCAAATCTTATTCAATCTCGCCCGTTTGTTTGCAGCGCATCATGAAAAGAGCTTTGTTTCTGCGTTTTTTAAGGTCTCCTATTTGATAACCTTGGGTCTGGAAAAAGAAATTATTGTTTTGATAAAGGCTGGAAAAAGTCTTGAATTTTGGATCCTAAAATCTGTACGAACCCTGTTATTAACACATCACTTTTCTTTTCGAATTTCGAATTTTCATTATCCCTTTGCGTATCTGCAGTGCAAATAGTGGTCGAATTTATAGCCTGGAGAGCAACAAAAATTAAATTTGGGTGAAAATTTCTCGAGGTTTCGGACTTATTGTAGTGCTGAATTGATTCCTCTGTACAATTGTTTATGTGCGGGCGAAAGTATAATGCTGTTAACCGTTAGAATACATAGGTTAAGGTGACTCTCCTTTGTTTCCTTTATTGTTTTAAAAGTCTTAACGTTTGTTTTTGAAGAGAAGCCCAACCCACCCCGCCCACCCACCCCACCCCCCTTTAGGCTTGTTTAGGATTAGATATCAAGTGAACATATGTATACTCTAAGGTACTATTAGACAACACGGCTACCAACAACATTAACAATGATGATTTGTCCCAGTTTTTGAACAATTTTCATTCATAATAAATGAACATGAATGGTGTGATGGTCTTTTGTTGAATTTCCGTATGAACTGCGCAGTGTCACACACGTACTTTTAGGTTGTGCCTATATATTGTCCAGTGCTTTTGCAAACGTAATCTAAATAAATGCTTTGCTTGCTCTTCAGCCTCAAGACTCACACTTAAAGCCACAAATGGAAAGAGAAAATCCAGATGCCGAAGAGTTTGAAGAAAACCCAGAAGTTGCAAAGGGCATGAAAATGTGTTTTGACAAGAACAGCCCGTTTAGTGCTTGTCCAAACATTGCGAAGGGAATTTTTATTAATAAAGCTATGGCCAATAATTTTGTTTCTAATGCTTAGGGTTTAAAAAAAATTGCAAAGAACTCAAAAACGTTATAAGAGTGTCCGACGCTCTTTTAGCTATGTCATTTATCTTCATTTCAAATTTTTCGATTTGTTTAGTTCCTGGCTTGTAGTTTGACTGTAACACAGGTTGTAATCGGTGACGACACAGCTCTAAACTCGTTTTCTAACAACGTATTTGGGTAAAAATACGTTCACCTTTTATGTGCGAAAAAGGAAGGCGGTCAGCATTTATAGCAGCTGAGGCGATGAACTAAGGACACTTGGACCAGTTCAGTTCTAAAGAGAATTTCACTATTAATCACGACTATTCGTCCAGAATGGTATGCCCTTCAGGGGTGGATTTTCACGGAAAATCTCTATAAAAAACTGATACTTTATTTTCAAAATGACCGGTCAGAGCAACCAGTTCTGACTTTTGGTAAGCGCCCTGAAAATACTGAAAGTAGCCGAGGACAGACTCTCAACCAACTGAAGTACAATCCTAAAAAAGTCCTGGGTACATCCACCGTGTTGAAAATTATATAGTACGTTTAGTTTTTATAGAAATTTATGTTCTTACTACGTTTTTGTAGCTCCTTGGAAAATAAAAGTACATTTGGCACTTCGCCTTATGGTCTTCATCTCAATCTCATACGTCTCATGTAAAATAAAATGATTCTTACAAAAAGAAAATGTACTACATTATGAAATAACAATTATCACTTGATCGTGTCACTTAAAAGACGGGATTGCCTTGTTGCCTTCTCCACAGGCTTTTTCACAAGTCTAAGGTGGAGACAAGGGCTTAACAAGCGGGGTGCTGGAGACGAGCGAGAAGCTCGAGTGGGGGATGATGGGAACGAGTGCAGAGGGGACGGCGGGAGATTGCCTTATCGTAATATTCCACTTAGTGGTTCGAAAGAGAATGTCAGGCTACGATGTCTGGATTAAAACACCTATAACCTCAACGATAGGCTTATGAATTAAGTTGATTTTATAGTGTCACCGTCTCTTAGGTTAGAGAGATCTGGGTTTTGCTTACGCTTATGGTAAACGGCAAAGATAATTTGCAACACGTGACCAAGTTATCCAATCAATCGTCCTTTACCGTTCTTTATATTTGTTCAAAACACGAGGTAGTATTTTAGGTTTAATCCATGAGAATAATTTCGCACAGTAATTTGATTTTCTCAAGCTCTCAGTTCCGATGAAGGAACATCCGTCTACAAGATTTTGTCTAAACTTGAGAAAATTCGCGTAATACTGTTCTTTTGTAGACGTTTGTGACAGATATGTTTATACTCAAAATTATCAATGGCTTCTCAACAGGTCTTTTAGACGTTGCGAGGAGAACATATACCGAGATTGTTGATGACATTACTGGTGAGTCCCGGTATTAAGTCAGTAACGTCGTTTTTTCGCAGAGAACGGTAGAGCAATTCCCCCAAATATTAAGGCAGGTGCAGAGGCATTTCTTTCGCTCATTAAACCGTTGTGTTATATATTGTCCACGCTGGCGTCGGCGCACGGTCGCATCTAAAACCAAGTAGGGTGTATGAGCAAAACAGCAGCACTGCAAGTGCATCACCCTTTTTTTTGTTTTGTTTTTTGTTTTTGTTTTTTTTCTTTTTGGGGGGGGGGGGGGGGGGNTGGGGGGGGGGGGGGGGAGGGAGGTCCGGAGGGAGTATACCAATCCAAATTTTCCAGCCAAACCTTTTTCGCATCCCAGCTCCCGTTGTCCAAATCCTATTCTCACCATCTTAATTCATTGATTTTTTTTGCTGATGCTGCAGTGATGGCATCAAAGAAATGCCAAATCATTTGTTTAACGAGTTCTGGTTATTTTTGGCATAAAACAATAAGAGGTTTTTATAGCAATATTATAACCTCAAAAAACGCTCTTGATCAGCTTTGCGTGCTTGTGAATCAAAACGGGTTCTGTGACACCCATTTGTTGTTGTTGTTGTTGTTGTTGTTGTCTGGCGAACTGTGAAAACTGTACCTAAATACTAGAAACAGAACTAAGTTTTAAAAACTTGGGAACCAGCTTTAGGGCCATCTTGATTCGACGAAAATTTAAGGTGGCTCTGAACCTACTATCAAACTTTTCCAAAAGGTGAATCTAGACTCCATGCTGATCAAAATTTACAGATATGAAATGGAGACTATCGAACTCGTTTTGTGTAATAACCAGTTACACATGCATAACTTGTTCACCAGTGGCTGGACATTTTTTGGTTACTATTATTATGGTATCTAGCTCTGTGAGTAGATAACTTTCGATGTGTTAAAATTCATACTTGGCTGCGAGGCCTGGGCGAACAAAACAAAAGAAATCAATAGGTTCAATAATGAATAGTACATTTCTTTTTGCTTCATTCCCTCAATCCTCGGAGCTAAGTATGAATTTTAATATATCGGAATTGGTCTATTGACAACTTCTTTTGCTAATCAATGTTGCAGAAATGATAAAGCAGCTGGGAGAGAAACACAATCTCCCGCTTAAAACTGGCTTCAATGCTACCAGAGGATTTTTCATTCAACTGACAGTAAATCGTGATCAAGATGTTGACCTCAGCTCGCTGCCGAGTGAATTTTTAAAGGTGGTTAAAGTGCGAGGTGTGGTCAGCTTTACCACTGTTGATCTGGTGAGTTGCAGTTTTACACAAAAAAACCAATTAATTTCAACTTGTAATTGTGGTTACGCCTTTTTCGTTTTGCGCTAACTCACAGCGGGAAGTCTTGTAAGTGGGTTGGTTGAAATATCTAAGGACACCACACTGGAGCGCATTCTCCAGAATTGGCCTTTAGGTTATGAGAGAGTACTACTGATTATCGGAGAAGTACTTTTAAACAGTCCTGTCTGGCATTGTAGTTAAGCAATGACAGCTTTTGTTATTTACTAATCGACTCACTCTATTTTCTTTGTCACATCCAATCTTTTATGGATACAGATCAAGCTTAATGGTAAGGTTACAATAAACCTCTTTCGTAATGTCGGCCTATTAATATATTCTTTTATATCTGTAATAATTAGCCTTTTTGACCTCGTTTGAAAATAAGAATTCTTTTGTGTTTTGTGGTCAGAAAGGCTAATTATCATACATATAGAAGAGTATATTACTAGGCCGCCATTATGAGAGAGGTCTATTTTTCTTCATTTATTATGACTTTTCTCTCAAAGTTGCAGGTCTTAAGTTCTGTTTCGTGTTTTGTTTTTCAGATAGAATAAAAGAATCTTTGAACGAAATATACCTCATGACCAACGTGTAAGCAATTCAGTGCTAATTCACAGACTTTCTGAGAATCAAAGAGCGCAATAATTCTAGAGTGATGACAAAACTGTTTTTATTTCTAACATAATACAGGGTTGTATCTGAACTTCTGTGTGAGATCCGTGATCATATGGGATGTCTGTACAAACTCGCTGAACTTGTCAGTGTCTTGGACATGCTAGTTTCGTTTGCCCACCTATGCACAATTTCTGACTATGGTGAGTTTCCTCTTTTTTCTTTCTTTCTTTCCCCTTTTTTGAGTATCAATGAAATGACTTACTTGCTGGAATGTGGAAACCTTTGGTAAATGCATGATGTTACTTTTTATTAAGTTATGATTTAAGGTATTTGATAGGTTGTCTTTAAAGTTTGTCCAAGATTTGTTGTTGTTTCTTTGAGTGGGTCAAGGATAGTCAGGATTTTACCCCTATTTAGGGGTGTTTTCCTGTTTTGGTCTTTTAATGCTAGTCGTACTTAATTTAATGTCATGATAAGCTTGGAAATATACCTTCGGTATTTAGGTAATGTTACTCAGTCTAATCTTGCCGCCAGATGTGTGACCTACATAGGTGGTCGTACTTGAGATTAAAGCTGGCCATGGGTTTTGGTCGCGTAGGGGTTCCTGTTTGGGTTTGATAACCAGCGTTTTTCCATAACCTCTTGATAACCGGGGTTCATTACTGTGTGTTCTGTTGTTGATCAAAGTCGTGTAGGTGCACTGCCAAATTATTATCCACACAGAGTTTACTTAGTCAGCTAAGCCAAACATATCCACACGGTTTTGCTATCTTTAAATTTCCTCACGAGTTTCATAGCAGAAAAGCCGTGAAGCAAGCGGAGAGTGCTTTGTTGGTCACTACACAAAGCGGGCTGTGAGCAAGCATAAGTAATACCTGAATTTTTAAAAAACAATAGCTCTAGTAGCTACAATCAAGATAGAAGTCAAACTGTGAACAGTCTTGGTACCTTTTCGCTTAGCGAGCGGGTACTTTCACTACGGTTGTACTAACGTTACCAGTGGCTCTTAAATATATCTTGGTAGAGTTTATTTTGGTGATTGTACATGTTTTTCAAGCCGGTTTAAGCTTCTTGAAAACAATATTACAATCTTGCATGACTGATGTCCGTTCCATCTGACAACTCAATGTACCTTTTGGGACAAAATGAAATGTTTTTGCCGGTCGGTGTTCCCATTTTACAGTGCGACCAGAATTCACAGACACCTTGGCAATTAAGGACGGACGTCATCCAATTCTGGACAAAATTCTTCCAGAACCACCAGTGGCAAACAACACGGTTTGTATATGCTACTCTTAGTCTTAAAGTAGAGCGATTATGCTTTGAGTTGATTTGATTGGTAATGATGAGCACTTAGGCCATATTCTTTTATTTCCTCCTACGGTTACAATAGGCGGCTTGTTGCCTTCGAAGGAGATCTAAATTTATATAACCGAGATAAAAAATAGTCATAGTCAAAGAAACCGACCTGCCCTAATAACCTTACTGACTTTCACCTGTTTTCGTAACTTTCAGTATGCTACTGATGGATCAAATTTCTTGCTGATAACAGGCCCTAATATGGTAAGCATTAAACCTCCTTGAGTCTTTTTAATGTCACTTTTATTAATAACAGGGGAACTTAGGAATGAAAATGTAGAAGACGTGTTAAATTTGTTTAAAAACAGTCCCCTGAATGTGAAGCAGGGGGCAATAATCCCTTAGGCATTAAATGAAAAACTGTAGTAGTTTTACTCAGGTACTTTATTTCCAAATGACTTTCTGAGATAAGTTCTGTTTGATATCAATAGTCTATATTGTTAAGGAACTATGTTTATGACATCTATGGCGGACTTAAATGGATAAATTCACATTTTTCCACTTTTTTGCCGGAAAATACTGAATTAACTAATGGTAAATACAAAAGCCTAAGTACCATCAGTCTGCTAAAATGGAACTCTTACCATAAAGTACTTGAAACACTGAAACCCTTACCTTAAAGTACTTAAAACACTGAAACTAAGAAGTTTTGCAAACTAAAAAGGAATGCTGTTACCAAAAACTCGACTGCTCTTTTGATCCTGATGTAAGGTTAGGGTGTTCACCTACGGATCTAATAGCACACTGAACATTCAGTACCTCAAATTTGGGACAAAAAATTGACATTGGATTTGTATTACATTTTTCATTGAATTCGGCCCCATTATGCACACATGAGTCTGTTAAATGTGTAAACGCTCTCTTTACTACAGAGTGGCAAATCAACGTACTTGAAACAGATAGCCTTACTTCAGATAATGGCACAGATTGGATGCTACGTACCGGCCGAGTATGCCTCTTTCAGAGCTGCTGATCAGATATTCTCCAGGATAGGAAGCGATGATGACATTGAAACCAATTCATCTACTTTTATGCTCGAAGTGGGTTTTTGTGTTTGTGAAATTGTCAGAGGTGTTTTTTTTTTTAAGTTTTCTTCTGACAGAAGGTAACCGACTCAAATGCTCTTTTTTTCTGTTTTATCTCCCTTTTTCTAATAACTAAAATAATGCGCTACGTATTTGTTTCATTTTAGATGAAGGAAGCCAACTACATTATCCAGGTGCGCATAAAACAGTTTTACTGCGGTTCCGCTGAGTTATTCAGTGACATTTTGTAGATCCTTTTGAATAAAAGTAAGAGCTTTAAAGTAAGGCTTCTTTTTCGTAGAATGCAAGTGACAAATCCGTTATTATCATTGACGAACTAGGACGGGGTATGTATATTACACAACGCTGTTTTCTCCTTGTTTCTTTTTTTTATTTATTGTTTTTTTCAACACTCAAGTATCCCACCGAAACACGAGCAACTGTATATGTGTATGATTTCAAGAGTGATTGACACTGTGGTGCACAAGGCAAGACTTACCAGGAGCAGATCCGGAAAATTCAGTGGAGTGGCGGAGGGTGCGTGGGACACTTGCCAGCCATAAAGATACTATTTATTTCAACGAGAATTCCGTTTAAAAATTATGAAGAATTTCACAGAAAAAGAAAGGGGACGCGGTCCCGTCGTCCCAACCCTAATTTCACCCATACTCAGTATTGACCTTCCTTCTTTCAGGAACAAGCAGCGAGGAAGGGGTTGGAATCTGTTTTTCCGTATGTGAGAATCTGTTAAAAAAGAAGGTAACTGTTAAAAGTTTGCGCCTCCTTTTAAGACTTTTGCGAAAGACCATTTTATGATAAATTACTGTTCATAGTGTTTTTATCGTTAGTTTACGTAGCTACCCCCTTTATGTATACTCTCCTTCAATACTGTGGAAAGGCGAGGAATTGACTGACATAAAAGAACAACTTGAGATGGTACCTTATTTTCAGTTTCAGTAGTCGATTTAATTATTAGGAAACAGCAGGTCTTTAGAGCAAATCTGGCTTTGGCATGTAGATATCTGAAAAGGCTTTCTCTTGTTTTGGCTGTGTTTTTCTGTAGGCATTTACATTCTTTGCAACTCACTTCCTCGAGTTAACTACAATGGACAGCATCTACCCAAACGTGGAAAAGTAAGCTAAATCATTAATGATCATGTTTTTTTTAGTAAAATGAATAAAATTATCAGTTCATTTAGTGTAACAATTTTACGTAATATACAGATGTGTAACAAAAAGATCTTTTTTATTTTGCAGTTTGCATTTTAAGATTCAGGTAATTCATTTTTTTTTCTGTTGTAACACTTTTAAAATTCAGTTTATAGTCAGCCCACCAAATTTTGCATATGTTATTTGCAACCACCAAAACAAAACTACAACCATGCCCATTATACCACCTAAAAGCCTTTTATATTGTTTCCTCGAGGGCTTTTTTGCTGGTTTGGTATTCACTCTGCGCAGATGCGGCTTTTTGAAAAAGCTTTCAAAACTGAAATGCTATCACAAGCCTTAAACTTCTTAGGAAAAAATATACTACAACCTCTACGAACTTAGAGGCCTGTGTGTACCAAAAGCGTTTTCACGATTTGCTTTATAGACCCTGGGTGCATCCTACAGTAAACCTATTGAACATGGTCTATCAGACAAGAAAGCTATATTTAAACAAATGTTAAAAGTAAGAATTTATTTTATCATGTAGAAAAACTTCAGCGAGGAAGCCGCCTGTGAGAAGATTACTTATACTCATGTTTTATCAAAGGGAAGAACAGAAGAGAAACATTATGGCAAGTCTTTTCCCCTTTTTCCTAAATCATTCACTTTTTATTCGATATCGGTACCACCAGGGCATGCTGGTGGTTTTAAAGCTAATGATTAAGTATCAGGCATTTCAATGCAACGTACATTACTAGAAAAAAACTTGAAGACGGAAGTCATACGGCAAAAAATGGCAATGCAAGAACACTTGAATATGGGCGAATAACTAAGTTTCACAAGTGCACAGAACGCAGCAATCAGCTTTGCGGCGGTCCCTGTGTTGGCAAACTTGAAGGAGTATCGTCGAAAAGGCAACTGGGTTTTTTAACTAATGTAAGGGAATCCGGATTCAGCAGTCCAGGAAATTTTTGCTTGTGGAATCCGGAATCCGGGAAGTTTTTGCTCGTGGGCAATCTGGGATCCTGGGTTTTGGAATCCGGAATACAGCTCAAGGAATATGGATCGCCCTACAGATTGTTTTCCAGAATCTAAGGTGTTATTACATATAACTACTTACAACTATAGCCCTTTAAAAGTGTAAAAAAGAATGCGATATGGCCTAAAATATTCTGGTTTAAAGTTTTTGTCCACTTCAATATTAAAATTACTCAATTTCGTTATGGATTTTGTCTTAAAAAGCTGTGAGGATAGATGGCCCGTACAGATTAGCTAGACCTTTAATCTCCTATGCTCTCTCTTGCTCTCGAACACCTAGAACTGGCGAAAAGTTTCATTCTCCCCTATCTTAATTGAAGCATGTGTCGCGCTCACCCTTGTTCTAACTTCTACGTCTCATAAGCGACCAGACCAGACCAGGGAAAAGGAAGAGCATTGGTTTTGTGAAGTGGTTTTCACTTACTTGCTTTGGAAGGTTAAATTTATTTTCTTTCCTTTATCTCTTAAAAGGTCTGCAACTCGCTGAAATCTCAACGCTTCCATTGTCTATAGTGAACGAAGCTCGGGAAATTTCAACAGAATTGATTAGGCAGAAAGAGGTATGCGAAGCCTGCGATTTTCACTGTAAGGGTGATGATAGTTGGCCACTTTAAATCTAAAAATTATGAGGCCCAAATTACCAAAGTTGGCCTAAATAATTTCGAATCCCGTAGGAACTGAAGATGAAGGAAATATAGTCAAAACGCGAAATTCCCATCGACGTAAACGTAAGCACTGAGTTAGAGAAGGGGGGTTATATTTTTTTTACAACATATATATTCTTCTAATCGACCGTACGCTGATGTTTGAGAACGGGCTCGAATGTATTCGACCCACCCGAGACATTGTGACTAGGAAAATAATTCAGTTTCACATTGAAAAATACTGTTCATTTGGTTTGAATTACGTCCACATTTTGTACGACATGACCAAGTTTTATATATATCATCTACTTTTAGTAATTTTACGCCAGTTTCACCCATAAGCATTATTTTTGCGCAGTGTTCCTCTTGTCATTTCCTGTTTGGAGAAATTTTCAACTTGGGTCTGACGTTTGTCGTTTGCCATAACGTGATAAATTTCCGCAATTGATCTGACTTGCCCTTTTGGTCTTTCTTTTTTTAGAGAAGTCAACTTTTGTCAACGGAGAGTCGCCAACAAAGAGCTGTTTTCCGACTGGCAACAAAGCTCATTCAAGCAGCACGAAACTCGTGTCTTGATAGTGCTGGACTACGCGCTTATCTCGTGGGGCTAAAAAACCAGTTCGAACGAGAATCTATCCCGGAAGCGGTTGAAGAATAAGACTTCAAAGGGCATCTGAAGGAATATTCAAATAAGTTGAGTTAAGTGTTGTTTATCTTTCAAAACGCGCAGTTTTTAATTGAATATTGTAAATTATTTGTCATTAAATCCAGATAACGCCTTCCTGCCTTGAAATATGTTACTTCATGTGCTTGTGCATGTAGACTCTAGACTGGCATTTTACCTTGTATGTGAGAGCGTAAGACGTAATTTTTGTACTTATTTGCGAGTTAAATATGCACAAATAAATTTTCTTGTGCATTATATTAAAACAAGCCAACGTACAGTTCTGACCTTACGCAAGCTCGTCTTATTTTTTGATCGTCAAACCCCCCTGGGCTCCCGAACGCAGCCCCCCTCTGAATTGTGCAGAGGGTTTCTCGGCTCCATATGGCAAGAGATTGTCTTTAACTGAATAAAGGTGCCTTAGAAAATTCACTTTCGCTAAAGGTAAGCGAATAATCCTCAGGTCTCTTTGTTAGCTATATATACTACGTCACCCAGGGTGTAGGGGAAACGTTTAGTGACAACATGGAACTACACTTGTTCCGCTTAAGTTAGAAATTGCATGCAATACATTCTTTGCCAAAAAGAACGTCTGGGCCCCACCTTGGAAAGACCCCTGTGGTTCGATTAAGCGGCCACTTCCGGTAAACCGGGCCACTCAAAATCTAGCATTTGGGTGGTCGCTTACGAGAGGTTCGATCAGTATTCAGTTTCCAGTTGCATTAGCTATTGGGGCTCATGATGACTACCTATAAATTAAGATGAAAGAATTTGAATTTAAAGTTTTACAACTCCACAGAAACATAAAACGGGGACAACCCCTAACCCCTTACGGCACTGTTGGGTTCAGTGGGGCTCGGTGCTTCTCGTAACCTCCGTGACAGCCCTCTAACTAACACAAATCGCTTAGTAAACAATTGACCGTCAAAGCCGCCATCGTTTGACCAAAATTTAAATCTTATCAGCCTGTGTTTTCAAGTGTTTAGTCTTGATAAGGCGCAAAATCTAAACGACGAGCAGAATTATTGACATGTTTCAGCGTATTTGGTAAACCTGATTCATAGCAGTCAAAGTCCTTCAGTCCCTACAGCGGATCAGAGATTAAACAAGAGTTTTGTTACCACTTCCTCTTGGTCCACCACAGTAGTTCAATGTAAAGGTGTCACCGAGTTTAGAGGCTATATTTAGGTCCACGTAATGTGTACAGATCCAAAGGTAGCCATTAAATAATTGAGTTTAAGTTACTAACTCTGGACAGTTCGGTCATTAAGTTAGTGGCGTACCTCAGTTAAAAATGGAAATTGCAGAACAGGAAAGCGACGTATATAATACAAGCTTCAGTATTCTATTTTTCTTCACTCATTTCGCAGAATCAAAAACTTGACGGTTCGCGGATCGGCACATCCATTGAATTCTCGGAAAAAGACTCGCCCAAATTCGGACCTGGGGCAACGAGGCACGCACTGAACACTTTTAGCCCAAGGTCTCTATGCCGCACATGTTGACCTACATGTTCGTCATGTTCTAAACAGATGCAGAGATCATCTTCTGCAAATGGATGCCGCGACATGAAAGGCCTGACAAGGCTTGAAGCAACAGGTGGCGATAAACGAACAATTCCCGGTCAATACTGCATGGATTTCGAAATCTTGTTACTACCGGTTATGGAGTCCGATTGCATAACTTTTGAAAGAAAACTTAACAAATTTTGAAACAGTTTTTTGCTAATTTATCGCATTCAACGTTATTCACTGCAAGACCCTTAAGAGTTAGTACTGACGACCGACCTAGTCAAATGGCTAGCTGGGTGAGTGTATGATCGGTTATAGATTTACGATAGGCGTCGTGTTTTCTGGGAAATACGTACAAAAAAGGCAAAACGTTGACTTAATTTAGCATTCCCATGGTTAACAAATCGCAGTAAACTGAAACCAACGTATTAGTACATTTAGCTCTGCAATGGTCTGATATTTCCTTTTCCAAATATTGAGTATTAAGTTCCGTTCCTGAGTCAAAAAGGAAACTTTGAAGTGCGTTATTTTTATCTCTCCTTAAACCAGACCACCCTCTTCGTCTGGTTATATATCCATTAACAGTCGGGAACTCGAAAAAAAACAAACATGATTCAATAACTATTTATTCAGTTGAACTGTTTACATTAAAATCTTCTTCAGTTACCTCCTTAATCCGCCGCAATAGTAAACTGTCTGTGTATTTTGTGCCTTCTGTAGCTTATTTTTGCGATTAATGCTCCATTTCCGAGTAACAATTAGCTCCACGAAAAGAGGGTGGTTTGCCTATAATCTCTGCAATGGCTACTCATTTCACCTCTTTTGTCTATTTTGTTTTTAATTATCAGACTTTGTATACATCATAGGTTTATATAATGTTTCCCACGAGCCATAGGAAAATCAACCGAGAGACATATATCGCGATCTTAAGCTGCAGGATTGTTCTTGATAAATATGGCAAAACAGAATAAAAATACACTGAGGGCGAAAAATAGTAAGGCAGACAGAGTTCACTGGTCACGAACAATGTTCGCAGATAAAAGATGTGAAAGAGTTTGTTTAATTAAGCTGGAATTTTTTATGAAGTCTTTTCAAACTGGCAAAAGGCAAGGTGGCTTAAGGGCCAAAGTCTGTACACTACGAAGTCCAAAAAGTGTGTTATCGAGCTTGTAAATGATTCGAGGTGGCTTTATTCGTCTAACTAAGAACAGTGTTTTGATTAGATTTGAATATTAGCAAATAATAAAATCAGTTTTCCACCTTCGCCTTTTTCCACGAAATACTCGATTTTAATCCCTTTTTAAACATTGTCGAGTAATCGTAATTGATATGAGTGTTTAATAAGCTATGCTTAATCTAGACATTGTGTAGCTCATAAGTCAACTACACCAGCAGGCATTCTGAGAGTTATCCTAAATATTTATTCTATCTTCCAAAGTGAAACCTTTTTTTGGAAAAGGGGCAACTTTAACATGCAAAATACCAAGTGCTTTTGTATTGTGGTGCATGCATCAATAAACACATCAAACCAAAAATTCTTTCTCCGCAAGATTCCTGATTTTTAAATTGATGGGGTAAAACTAGTCTGCTCGTTTGCTAGTTGTTCATTTCTTATTGCGGTCGAGTCAGCAAGTAAATTAAACTTGCTTCCCCTGGAAGTTCTCGTAGCCTACAAACAAGTCTTATGTCGGTGACTCTGGTAAAAACGAGTCAATACACTAGGGAATGCGATCTCTTTTTGAGCTGTCTCAAGCATGGATGAGCTTGAGGTGGAGCTTACTTTAGAGCTCTTGACAGCTGTCTTGACGTGCATTGAAAAATGTTAAGGCAATACGGATTATCATAACAATTACATAATACTTCGAGTAGATTCTTTTGAGTTAATTCATGTGCATCATAAGCGTATAGCCGTGGCATTTTTATTGAATTTGCTTATTGTTCATGAAGTTAAAACAAAAAATTCCAGCGGGAAAATGCAACGGCTATAAACGTATCCAGTCTGTTATTGGAAGAGGCCTGTAGCTGAATGAATGATCGTGATCAAAGTCTATAACCGCGACGTATTTACTCACGTGTTTAAATGTTTCACTTGACAAGTCAACTTGAAAGATCACGTGAAAATCGCCGCTTTTGTTTGTTATAAAAGCAACGTGAGGTGAAAGGTAGGTTTTAATCAGATGCAGCTAGTAAATGCAGTGAACTGCGGCAGGAAAGGAACCTCGTTAAACGATAACTACTTTGGTTGTTTCAACTCTCACTGTCGACCTGTGTTGATCATTTAGTTGAGGAAAGAACAAAGGAAACCAGTCCAGCGAAACTCACAGAATGGCTAACCATACAGTAGATTTCCACAAGCTTGAAGCAAATGTGAAAACCATTGGAAGCAATCTTGATCAGTTGTTTCTAATACTCATGGGATGCCTTATATTTTGTAAGTATTCCGTCTAATGTTNGCAGGAAAGGAACCTCGTTAAACGATAACTACTTTGGTTGTTTCAACTCTCACTGTCGACCTGTGTTGATCATTTAGTTGAGGAAAGAACAAAGGAAACCAGTCCAGCGAAACTCACAGAATGGCTAACCATACAGTAGATTTCCACAAGCTTGAAGCAAATGTGAAAACCATTGGAAGCAATCTTGATCAGTTGTTTCTAATACTCATGGGATGCCTTATATTTTGTAAGTATTCCGTCTAATGTTTATTTCTTCTTCTTCTTTTCTTTTTCTCATTACTTTTCATTACTGTTCAGCTCTTATTCTTTTCCGTACTCTAGTTTGTCTGATTTCAATTCCAGCAAACTTAAGAACATTTTTGGAAAACAAAAGAATATTATGTAAACCTTAAACACCTACAACTCAATTACTATGATCCAATTCCAATAGAAATCAGTAAAATTTCAATTTCTGCAGTTTTTACGCTTTTCAACTAAACCAATGAGCCTACAACTAAAAGTTATCTCCCACTGAGGATCAAGGTCTCACGTTCGCTTTGAATACAAAAGTTCCTTTGTTATCCACAGCAGTCATTGCAAATCAATGCCTGGAAACTTCTACATTCCAATTTCATTTGGTTGTGTGCGTTTTCGAAGAGAAGAACTGATTTTAGCCGTCCTGTAACCGTGTAAGATGAATTGAACTGACTTTTCCGCATGTTTTGGTGTATGGGTGTGAGTCGTCGTCAAGGTTAAAACATCAAAACAATACAATACACGTCTAAAAATCATACAAAGCAAAGACAAAGCGATATGAAACGCGGGAAGATAATTCCTTTTGCTGTGTTAGAAACAGAAAACACTATTATTAGTTTATAACAATTATGAACCTTATTTTGAAATTATTTTACTGCCGTGATGGAGCATTTTCTTCCTTGATATCATTTTACCACTGTGATGGAGCTTCTTCTTCCTTGATATCATTTTACAACCGTGATGGAGTGTTTTCTTCCTTGGTGTCATTTTACTATTGTGATGGAGCATTTTCGTCCTTGATATCCTGT